ACGATAGATTTAAATGAACTCATTAGCAGTTAATGCAGCAAAGCTCTTTCTAAATGCTAATGTTTGGCTGCCGTTGGCTTGTTAATTAATTTGAAGATTGTGTAATTATCAGAGCTGTCGATTAGCATATGTCTAGCCTGTGATTTTTTTTTTATTGGTAGATGATATTGGTTGGCATGTAAGTATAAGAAATTAAATTATATCTCTAATAGATAAAGGGCAACAAACTGATTGTTGAGGTCTTGAGGCATTTTAATCTCTTCTGCTTACCAACTTTACAGTTATTTTCTCTTCTCTCCAAATGATATGCCAGACTGGGGGAAAGTGGCAGCTCTTGGATATTTTTATACCTTTGCACTCTTGCAAATCATTCTTTCTCAGCATAATCAAATGATATTCAAGCTTCACTTAGCTGGCAGAATCTCCTATGTAAGGAAACTGAAGTTAAGGCTCATCTATTTAATAGATCCATTCTATCTAATTAAAAATCAATATTCTTGCTTGCACCTTTCACCTTCCTCTGCCTCAACAAATCCCAGCAGACAATGCTAAGGATGTTCATGCAAGCTTATATGAGCAGGGAAATAAAAGTAAAAGTAAAGGTTTCCCCTGTCCAGTCATGTCCAACTCTAGCAGGTGTTGTTATAGTAGTAGTAAAGTTGGAAGAGACCTTGGAGGTCATCTAGTCCAACCCCTGCTCGGGCAGGAAACCCTACACCATTTCGGACAAATGGCTGTCCAGTCTTTTCTTAAAAACTTCCAGTGTTGGAGCATTTACTGCTTCTGGAGGCAAGCTGTTCCACTGATTAATTGTTCTCACTGTCAGGAAGTTTCTCCTTAGTTCTAGGTTGCTTCTCTCCTTGATTAGTTTCCACCCGTTGCTTCTTGTCCTGCCTTCAGGTGCTTTGGAAAATAGCTTAATTCCCTCTTCTTTATGGCAGCCCCTGAGATATTGGAATACTGCTATCATGTCCCCCCTTGTCCTTCTCTTCGTCTCCGTGTCCAGCATGACTCTATCCCGAGGTGCACAGAACAACGTAATCTTCCCATTGAAGGGATACCTGTTTATCTACTCACATTGGCATGCTTTTGAGCTGAGGTTTGCAGGAGCTGGAGCAAGTAATGGAAACTCATCCCATTGTGCGGAGCTCAGGTCTCGAACACGGGCTTCAGCTTTCCAGCTGAGAAGCTCAGTGTCTTTAATTGGTGAGCCATTGTGCCTTTGAAGCAGAGAAATATGCAAGAATTATCTGCAGAGCTCAACTGAGAGACTGAATGGCTGAATAAAAGCTAAACAGGGCAACATATAAATTGTGTGTAGTTCTGTTCAGGTTTTCTCTTTTCATTTACAAGAATAACCTTGTAGCTTGCAAATGAGCAATAGACCTGGTGTACATAGGAGGGGAAAAATTTATGTTTCTTATGAAATACCCTCCCTGCACAAGTGTGAGAGTTATTTATTTATTGATTTAATACTGCTTTCATAACATAAACAGTGAGTACGCTAGTAGCAAGGTAATAGGTGGGTATTTAAAAACAAAGTCCTTATATTTCATTTTATCAAAATATTTATTGTTTGGTCCACATACACACATACCTAAGTGTAACTTTCTCCAATCTGGTTATCTTCTATTTGTGCTGAGCTATAGTTCCTAAAATCCTGACCTAATGGGATTAATATGAATAGTATAGCAATAGCAGTTATACCTATATACTGCTCCATAGTGCTTTACAGCCCTCTCTAAGCAATTTAGAGAGTCAGCCTATTGCCCCAACAATCTGGGTCCTCATTTTACTGACCTCAGAAGGATAGAAAGCTGAGACACCCTGGAGTCGGTCAGGATCAAACTCCTGGCAGTGGGCAGAGTTAGCCTGCAATTCTGTATTCTAACCACTGTGCCAACACAGCTCTTAATAACATGCAACACAAAATTTTATCAACATTGACACAAACAGTCTAGCAGTTATTGAAACTTGCATTAACCTTACAATATTAAGCCATTATCCTACTATAGTGCAAACAAAAGTTGCTGGCAACTCTTTTCCAATACGTTTGTCAGAAAAAAACTTACTGGCAAATCATTGACGTACAAGAGATTATATGACTAATGAGAACCTAAAGATGGATCTCATATACTTCTGAGTGGGAGAACATCTTGTTAAAATTGCAGTAATAGCTTTGAAAGGTAGGCTGGGGCAGGAAGCCAACAGGATCTGCTAATCATCTCCTGAAGAAGATGATTAGCAGATCATCATTCTCAAAGAAACATTTTACAGAATGAATTTTTTATTGCACACTGCAAAACATGTGAAATGTGTCTGTGGCTTTCTCATCTTGTTAGAAGATGGGATTAGTATATGCAAGTTGAGGAAAGTTAATACAAATTTGAATGGCATTTTAAAACAGGAAAGTATATATAAAGCTTGAGAACCCTCAATGGTATTAAAAAGTATTAAAAATGGGATTAAATCAAATCCTCCAGAGCAGGAGTCCCCAACCCCCGGGCCCTGGCCCACTACTGGACTGTGGTCTATTTGGAACTGGGCCAGGCAAGAGGTGGACGGGTGCCCCAAAGGCTTCTCTTGCAAATTTGGCCCTTCAATTTTTTCTTTTTTTGCTCCCAATGCTGATGAGGTGAACTGGGCATGGCTGCTAGGCTATATGGGGCTGGCTTCTCACAGAAGGAAGGGAGGGAGGGAGGGAGGGAGGGAGGGAAGAACAAGGGGCCACAGTGCACCAAAATACCCCTTTGCATTACTCTCCTGGATTGTATAAGATTGCAAAAAAGGGAAAAAAAAACACAAAAAAGAGCCTCACCTTGAGCTGGAGCATGCCAAAATGCCTCTGCATTCCTGGGCATTTGGGTCTGGTTTTTTTCTTGCAAAAAATCATGTTAGCTTTTGTTAAGGCCCTAAAAATCTGGCTATATTCCTGAGCCTGGGGCACTTAATGTGTCAGGGGTCTTGTTTCCTGGCTGTATTGCTAACTAGCCAAGTATCTTGGTCCTATGGATATTTAATTTGAATGTTTTAGCACTTTTGTTTTCAAATGTCTTAATATTTTAACTGTTATACGTGTGTGTGTGTGTGTGTGTGTGTGTGTGTGTGTGTGCTTTCGTAGATTTTCACAGGTATAGGTATGCAGGTCTTGGTGTATTCAGGTCTTTTCCCGTGTAAGATTGAGAGTATCTTGGTGATGTTTTGATGAGGTCCCACTCGTCATCTTCAGGCTGGGGTCTTTGGCTTCATGTTTGCGCGAGCAAAGTGTGATCGGAGCTGCAGTCTCTCTATATATATTGATGTGTGTGTGTGTGTGTGTGTGTGTTTGTGTGTGTGTGTGTGTGTGTGGAGTGCTGGCTTAGTTGCTGTAGGTGGATTGGTTGGCTGTGTTGGAGTTATTGTTTGTGGATTGTTTGGCTGTTTCGTAACATCCTGAGTAGTTGAGGTGCTGGCTTTGTGCCCATTAGTCTTTTGTGTTGTAACGACCTGGGTAATGGGTTGTGTGATGACATCCTGAGATCTACTGTAGTGATATCCTGAATTCTGTGTTGCACCATCCTGGGTGGTTGGCTGTGTTGTAACATCCTGAGCTTTTAGCTTTAGCGTTGTAGCCTCCTGAGTTCTGTGATGTGATGTCCAGGGCTGAAGGCTGTGAAGTAACATACCGGGCTTTGGTTTGGCTCTGAGCTTGCAGTCTAGCTCTGTGTTCATGGCGTGTGTCACCAGCTGCTGCACCTCCCTCCGACCCCCATACAAAGCAAAAAGACCCAAATACACCAAGACCAGAGAGAGAGAGAGAGAGAGAGAGAGGGAGAGAGAGAGAGGGAGGGGGGAGAGATAACATATTTTTGAATTGCTAGGTGGGCAGAAGCTGAGATGAGTGATGGGAGCTCCTCCTACCACAGTGCTAGGACTTGAACCACTGGAGCAAAGAACATCTCCAACATCATTAAGCTACAGAACTGTTGTGCCTCTTACTAGGATTTCAGTTGCTAAGTGATGCGGTCATGTAACCTCTTTCTTCACAAAAAAATTGCTTAGGAAGTGAAATCCCAGCCTCAAATGTGGTGGTAAGTAGAGAACTACCTATAACTTGACTTATGACTGGCCCAATGGCCTACAGGTGAAGATGCTTGCCTCCCATTGGAAGGTTGAGGGTTCAATTCTAGGAAGCGACACATTTTTCTATCAGGGTGCAAAGAGAAAATATCTGCTGAGAACTCTGCATAGGCATTAGGAAGGGCATCCGGACAGAAAATTCTCAATTCCATTCCAATTGCACCAATAGCAATTCCAGTTGCTTGAAGTTGTCAACCTGGTTAAGTCTATGGGCTTAAGAGATACGGTCACAATTAAACCAAAAATCCTTTGCAGTTACCAACTATATCTGGCCCACTACCAGTACCAATACCGACTATCACCTATATATGGAACACTACAAACAAGGTAAAGACAATATTTAGGGAGGAATCCAGGACAATATTTAGGGAGGAATCCAGGAATTTGTTTCAGCTTTTACCAATAACCCTAACGAACATCTGCATTTTCTTCTGAATAATGAAAGCACAAACCTGCAGAAACTAATCATGGTGTATGCATGTGTATATATTTTTGTGGGTCGATGGTTATCATCAGGATGGCTGTAATGATGTTGTCTTCATTAGTTTCTGCTCTACCAGGGTTATCCAGATAATGATAAAAAAAAATGTTAGATGTGGCCTTTTTATGTGTTCTGTATTCAATGAACATTAAAAAATGGGCATAGCTTTCAACACACTGATGCAGCTGCCATCTTGCCTTTTGAAAACCATTCCTTGCAGATTCCCCTCTACTGTGTACTTGTGTCACATCCGTCTGCCCATGTCTTGGGAAGCACTGGGCAGCCTGTGTGTTGTTCACTCTGGGTTACATACCCTTCCCATAGGAATGAATTCCTGAATTCCCCTGTACTTTAAAAAAAAAACATTAAAAAGAAGAAAAAAAGGACCATGCAACTAGCATCGTATCAAAATATATTTTATTCTGGACCTCTTTCAGATCTGATTCAAATTACACTTGTCAGAGCAATACAATGCAAAGGGAAACCTGCAACAGAAAAATGTGCCTGGAAAAGGATTAAGAAAGAGAATTTTAAGGGTGGGAAGGAGGGAGGGAGAGAAAATAATTGTGAGGTGGAACCAAAATACATCATAAAAGGTGTAATTAACATGGGTCCAGGACAGTATAGAACATCTATATCAGTCTTCTTTAGACAATAAATCATGAAAACTGAACAATAAAGTCTTTCTGAACATGTAAAAAAAGCAAAGAAAAAAAACTCTCATGTGGGCTGGTTTTACACCGGTATACGTTTGTAATTTAGCTGGATATATATCTGAAGAAATGGCATAGACATTTTCTATCCAGTAGCTATAGAGATAGGATCACAAAGCAGACCCCAAAGATTTGTTAACTCCAGATTAAACCTTTTTTTTTTTTTTTTACAACTACGTCAAAGTCAGGAGAGAAGGAGAAACCATCGGCAGGAAGAAAGGAAAAAAAAACTGAGATCAATTTTGTCTTCTAGATCACTGACCTGTTCACCGCACCCTTTCGAGAAACAAGATTGCAAAGCACACCAGAGAAGCAGTAACTAAACAGAAGGTTTTCCTGAATTTGTCCACAAATGGGAAGAAGGGAAAAAAAAAAAAACCCAGAAAGCAGCAGACTAGGTGATGATAAAAATCATGCTTTTGTTTGATAGACCTCAACATATGGAAACCTAATAGGCTTTGTTGCAACGGTTGCTGGACAATCTTACAGCATTGACATCTGTGGCTGTAATTATTTATGAGTTTGACAATTAGGCATCTGATGTATCTGCGGAAGTATCAGAAAAGCTGTAGGTTTTTCTCCGAAGAGTAGGTTCAAAGCAGTTCATCTCAAAAACCTTTGCTGCTGTCCAAACCTAGAGCTCTCTTTAGGTGTCTTCCTGCTCCCTCTGTTCAACTTCTGGATGTAAATCTTGAGACATACAGAAAGCCAACAGAACAAATACTTGAAAGAAGGCTATTTGAGAGAAGCAGGACAGCAGTTCAGCAGCTGACACGAGGTGGTAACAGTCAAAACGCAACACAGGATAAAATCAACACGATGTGGGCTCTTATGATGTGCGCTGGTCCTTCAGCATATTTGCACATCCATCCTTTTAGACGTAAACTATGTAGATTCTGTCACTGCTCATGTGCCACAATGCTGCCTCCTTTTGGGAAAATTCAGAATCCTTTTCTTTTACTAAAAATTTTCTACTTTTCAAATCCATTCACAAATACTGGAAATTCCAGATGCCCATGCTAAGCCAATGTTATTTTTTGCTCACTGCTTCTTACGCAAACAAATCTGTGTTTTTTAACATGAGAGCTTCTCCTGCAGCTAAAATTGGAGAAGGGTGTCTAAATATCCAAATGCACTTTTCCTTCCTTTGAAATTACATATTTCATGGAAAGTCTGTAGCTTTAAACTTAGCTTTTTTCTTTAAAAACCATACCTGAACAATGACCATTTTGCAATGCTGCGGTTTTGATGCTTTCTGAAAACCAATTGACACAGCATAAAAATGCAGAAGGTTTTCTGGGCTTTACATATTTTTACTCCTGAACTTAGGAAATATAAGGCTGCTGCATTTTTTTAAAACATGCTAACACCGCAAAAAAAAAAAATAAAAATAAAAATCAGTAAATAAAATTCCAACTGGTATAAACTTTTGATCGTTTTCCATCTTATTTAGCTTACCATAAAAATCATCAGTCTTCAATTTGTTTTATCTGGATGCAAGGTATTTTATTTTCACCCTGCTTCTCAAATCTATCTGCTTCCCACAGACTGATGTGGTACTAAGATTCCAGAAAGAGGCTTAGAGCTACAGGCCTCATTGTACATTTAAAATACATAACCACCAATTAAAAAAAGGCTTTCAAAGGTAACATTAAGAAACCTAGATTAGCCTTCTTTCAGCTGGTGGCCCCAAGATTTATTAGAATTACAACTGCCCACTTTTCAGTATAACCATCCAGATGGCTGCAAATTGTATGAACTTACTCCCACAACTTGTTAACTTAGGAACTAGATTGGGAAGAATGCCCTAGTTTTAACCCAATAACCTAAGACAATGAAGACAGACATTTTGTCATAACCTAATGGTCGCTATCTTATTTGACCACAATGAAACTGGATTTTCACCCATTTTTCATGCATCACCCTTGCTGCCCAAAACATCTTAGCAGTCCGTCCTACAATGTTAACAAATGTTCCCAATTCTTCCCCACAATTAACTTATCAAAAATAAGTTATCCAAATGTTAAATGCCAAGCTACTTTAAAACAATCCAATAAACTTCAACCACTGTAGTAATTGGTAAATATTACCTTCAAAATACTTTTTGGCTTTGTCATTTCAATGAACGTTCATTTTATGCAGGCTGTTACAGCCATGGAGCCCATTTCAATCTGTACTTCAGATCTTTCTCCACGGCACGCCCATGCACAAATCAGCTTCCTTGGTCTTGGCAAAAACCATGAAGCCCATTTCAATCTGTGCTTCAGATCTTTCTCCACGGCACAGCCATGCACAAATCAGCTTCCTTAGTCTTGGCAAAATTCAATTTCTAGTCATGGTGATTGGGAATATACAGGCAGCTGTATATCAATGATCTTAAGGGTATCAGACTGGGGAAGCCCAGTCTGATTTTAACTAGTATCAGGGTGGAATCAAATCACAGGAAAGTGATATTCCTAAAGCTGCATTGGTCAAGTCATTTGAATGGAAGAATTATAGGGGAGACTGTGCTGCATGAAAGAAGGATTGGACCCCACCATCTTCATTAGTGCTCCTAGTTCGACCACTTACTTCTGCTTTTAGAACCTATGTGGGCACACAAGTTAAAAACAACGGTGGGAAAGTAAATGACAAATTAAAAGAATAGCCAATGAACACTGTGGTATTTCTCAACAGTGCTTGCCATATTCCTGCTAGTGTCGAAAATAAAATACAAGGTGGAGAGACCTTACATGTAGTTATATCCTGGAATGAGGAATGGCAGCTTTGGGGATTTTCCCATTCTGCTTATTCTGCCTTGGGTGTTTGAATGGCTCTTTTTATTGTGCTCCCCTTTTTTTCCTTTCATACCACATTCTGAAAGTTTTGTCTTACTGAAAAGGAGAAGGAAGTCAGTTCACAATTGGAGCAGCACTGTGGCACATTGATGAAAAGGCAGCAGTCAACAGTTGGAGAATTCCAGGCTTTTAGCTCAATGTCTATCACACAAACAACCACAATACATCTGGCCCTTTTTCCTACCGCAACAGCTGTTTTTTAAAAGATGTGCTGCTAACTCCTCTCTTCACTTTAACCTCCCCTCCCCAAGTGACCCATGTTATGGGATGATACAGGAGAGGGAAGCTGCAGTGTGGAGGAAGAGAAGAAAGATGTACAGCACAAACAGATCTGATGAAAGAAAAAAATAATAATCTCCAAAATAAAGCCAAGGGCTACTATCCTATTTCCTATAAAATACTCTTTAACATTAATGATTTATAATGGCATGAAACATAGAAAGCCTGGGAAGGTCTGCAGTCCATGGGAATGAAGTTAATTTTTGCCTGGTTTGGGACTTGGGAATTTGGAATGTGGCTTGTGGAACTCAAGAGCAAGACTGAACGTCTGGCCCACCCCCCCCCCCCCAAAAAGTCTTCCTTGAATTGTGTTAAAAGCAAAATTATGTGGAAGGAGGGGAATCCGCCCAGGATTTGGTTGATAACACAGCTGTGATAATGAAGCTTCAATAAAGTCTACATGCTATATCATACTTAAATGGCTAGAATCAAAACCAACCAACCAACCAAAAAACAAGAGCTAAACAGTTGCAAAACCAGAAATATGAAACGTTGCTGTGGAATCCTGCAGCTGTGTCAAAAGACTTCAAAACACCATCTCGTTTTTATACACTTTTTTTTGAAGTAAGCTGAAACATCAGTTCAAGAGCTTGTATGAAAAACGAACAGACTGTCCATATCAAAATACAAAAGTACTATCAAGAATCACCTCTGACTTTTTTTTAAAAGATTTAAGTTCAGTGCAATTGACATTTGTGTTGCTAAAGGAAAAGAAATTGCTGTTTAAATATACTCAAAATAAAAATCCCCAAAAAACACATTTGTGTCTATTCCTGGGAGCACAGTTTAAAATTATTGCACAGATTTTTTTTTACATATTTTAAACTTTTAAAAAATTATTTTAATAATGACAGAGGTCAGCCACAGTCCTGGACCTCCAGCGGTAAAAAGCAAGGTTTTTCAAGTGCCAGATACTCAACCGGTTAAGTTTCTTACATACTGTAATTTACAGGGAAAATGATTCTTAACCTCCTAAGCCTATTCCCAAACCCTATAAGCAATTAATACAGAGGTATAATTGGATGGAACGACTGTCCTTATGGGGGTAAATCTTCCTTTTCTTCTCTCACAATCTGTGTATAACTTTATAATCCCCCATTAAGAGTAACCATGATGGTGCATTTTAAATCAGCTAAAAAATGTTGTGGTTGCCTTACCAAGCAAAACTCTACTTACTTCAAGATCTGCTTTCTGGGCATATACACAGAGGTGGCAGAAGTCAATGCTGAAAGAATGTACTTCATAAAGAGGGGGATAGGATGCAGTGATCTGATTTAGCAAAAGCCACAGTAGAATAGGGAAGATTGAGCTAAGTCTTATAAAGAAAATGGAGTTACTGCAGCAGCAGCGGTTCCTCTTAGAATTTAGATCTTAAGCTGGATCTTAGGTCAATGAAGCTTTGGTGTGCATTTCCTTGCCTGATGTTAAAAAGAAAGGAGACAAACATTGTAATGATGTCTGGAAACACATACATTGTAAAAACAAAACAAAATAATCCTCATCAGGAGGGAAAGAAGAATTCAAGACGGTGGATAATTTACAAATAAAGAGGGAATTGGTTTATATCTTCATAAGAGAGGTCCAAGCTTTGTGTTTATATGTTGTGCCGCCTATTGGAAGAAGTAGCAAAAATGGAAAAGATAAGAAGTTTAGTATTTCTGCACTGTGTTGCTGTGACTGAAAAGGAGATCCGAAATGGAGGCCTTAGCAAAGCAAATAAGTAGAAAGCATTCCTTTAGGTAAAAATCAGGTGAAACCTTAAAAAAGCCTGTACACCTTTTTGTTTAAGAAGTTGGAAGCTGCGTAAGACACGAAGCATTAGAGACTGAAATGGGTCAGCCTTTATAACTGTACGTTCACCCAAAAAAAGTCGCTTGTGATCAAACGTGAGCACCGAGTTAATATGTAGAAAGGAAAAGCAAGACTTGATGTAAGAACCAGACACTCAAAAGTGGTGATTATATTTTCTCCTGAAAAACATTTAGCAGCTTACACTTAAATCTAAATTTGAAGAGTGGTGTGGTGAAGAGAAAGGAGACAAGCACACAGAAAAGAAAAAATAACGGGAGAACAACAGGGAAAAATTAATGCAAGGCTGTTTTCTAGTATGGAAGCTCAATCATTTGATAGTTGAAGAAGCATGAGGCAAAGAGTTTTGCCAGGGCATGTTCCTCCTTTCCTTTGACTTAAAAAATATGAGGAGCCATTCACTGGGAACTTCACCAGCCCAGTGGAACTTAATCCCTGCTGCAAATATTGCTCAGTTCCCTCTTCAACATGTTTTGCGGAGGGGTGAGGGGAGAATTTCCAATGAATCAGTATCTTGAAGGTAGTAAACAACTTGCCTTACTTCAGAAAAATCTTAGCAAAGAGGCTTCAAATATGTTTTTGTACAAAGGGGAAGAAAGAAATAAGTACTGTCCCCAAAGGCTGAAATACTTCCAACTGGGAATTTGGTTGTACGCAGTAAAACTGGAGAAAATTCATAGTTATAGCAGAAAAATTTGCCCAAACTGAGAATGAGACCAGACCTTTATCTCTCTCTATTAGTTCAATTTTCACAGAGCGACTCAAATGTACTATGATCATGGTTTTGAAAAAAAAAGGTTCCATTTTTTTCGGTCTGGCTTAAACTTGGAATGTACAGACCACAGGTGTTGGGATTACCATCAAGGTCTATCACCTCCTTCCCCCAGATCTGACTACACAAAGGCTCACCATCCATTCCATCGAGCTGTCCAAGCCAATGACATGACTGCCCTACTGTGGTCATCCTATTTCAGTTTATGTGTTTCTCTTGCATTTTGTACACTCTGGCAGAAATGTGTCAGGTTGGAGGTGGCTGCTTTCTGGAGCAGCCATCATCAATAAGAAGACTAAGTGCAGCATCCAAGCAGCTTATAAACTATTGGCTCTGATGACAAAGATAAAGGAATGTTGATTCTCATTCGTCAGGATGGGTTTTGTTTTCTTCCTCCTTATCTAAAGTGGAAGCAGATCTATGTAACACTTGCCAGATGTCTATAAAGTTAAATATTAACGAGGACTTCAAAGAACTGCTGAAAAGATTTCCCTCCCTCCAATTCTTAGTGAAAAGATCTACCACCACCTAGAAAGAATTTCACATCCTGGCTTCAAGCATCAGTAAAACGTTAAAGAGCATGAGAAGAAGCAATGAACCCAATCACTGTTGCAGGACTAAGCAAGTTTGTTCTCCCTATACATGAAAACTGTTCATTACCTATTCGGGTGGTGGGGAGGGATCAGAAAGAAGAAAAAACAAAAAACTTCCCAAAATTTCAAAAAAGGGTAAAAATAAAGAAAAGAGGAGGAAGAAGATAAAGGGGGGGGGGGGGAATAAGCCATACATCGCTTTCCTCAATCTGATACTCTCAAAGGGCTGCTTGCATAATTCAGTTCTCTTTCTCTCTTGTCCTGTTTTATTTTTTAATTTCCTCCCACATCCAATTTTATTTGGGGGGTGTGTGTGTGGGGGGGTGGGCTGCAGCAAATTCCAGCACTTGGTGAACAGGCTTCACAAGCTGTGACATCACTCTGTCATCTTCTTCAGGGTATAATCTTTTGCTTTTTTTGTGTTTTTTAAAAAAATGTACAGTACATGTATTTAATTATTTCAGGTTTGGCTGTAGTGGACTGGCCATGGTTCAGTTGGGACAATAGCAGTACATGGGTCGTGGGGACAGTCATTTTGGCTATGTACACATTCATAGTCGGTCCATGGCTTCCAACTAGTAGCGCTATTTCCGTAGATCTAGTACACAAACCTGCAAAGAGGTAGGAAGAAAAAAAAAAGGGGGGGAGGAAGGGAGGGGAAAAGGGGTTTCAGAAATTTATTTATGCATTAGATTTGGACGCCAACAACAACTGCAAAAGACTGGGCATCCTACGATACAGAAATTGTGCGCTTATTATACGCATTACAATATGAGAAGTCCTTGGTGCTCTATCAGCTTGATTGTTTCCTTGCAGACATTTCATTATCCAAATTAAGTAACGTCATCAGTGGTACTAGGAAGTTGGGTTTTGCTCTCAATTTATATTCTAGTGTCTTGCCCTGCATGTGTTGATAGGGGAGTGTGCCTTTTCAGTGGCAGGTCTGTAATACCTTTGTAATATCCTCACCAGTGAAATATGCGTACTGCCATATTTATTGCCTTCACAACACAAGGCAAAATATTTTTTTATGTCTTTTATTAATGCAAGGCTATTTTCTAGTATGGAAGCTCAATCATTTGATAGTCGAAGAAGCATGAAGCAAAGAGTTTTGCCAGGGCATGTTCCTCCTTTTCTTTGACTTAAAAAATATGAGGAGCCATTCATTGGGAACTTCAGCAGTCCAGTGGAACTTAATCCCTGCTGCAAATATTGCTCAGTTCCCTCTTCAACATGTTTTGTGGAGGGGTGAGGGGACAATTTCCAATGCATCAGTATCTTGAAGGTAGTAAATAACTTGCCTTATTTCAGAAAAAATCTTAGCAAAGAGGCTTCAAATATGTTTTTGTACAAAGGGGAAGAAAGAAATAAGTACTGTCCCCTGTACTTCCAACTGGGAATTTTTATTGATATGTTGATGTTTTTTTAGAGGAATTTTGGTTCTTTTGGGTGTATTTAACGAAGGGAATTTGTAAACCCTACTACAGGTAGTCCTCGACTTACAATTGAGCCCCAAATTTCATGTGAGTTTTGTCCCGTTTTACGACCTTTCTTGCCACAGTTGTTAAGTGAATCACTGCAATTGATAAGTTAGTAAGGAGGTTGTTAAGTGAATCAGGCTTCCCCATTGATTTTGCTTGTTCAAAAGGTGGTCACATGACCTTGGGACACAGCAATGGTGTGAACCAGTTGCCAAGCATCTGAATTTTGATCATAGGGCTGCTACAAAGGTCGCAAGTGTGAAAAATGCTTGTAAGTCACTTTTTTTTAGTGCTGCCGTAACTTTGAATGATCACTAAACGTACTGTTGTAAGTCGAGGACTACCTGAATTAGTTCTTTTAAGAAACATCCTGAAAGTATGATAGGGGATTTTTCTTGAGTGAGGGGTTTCATGAGAAGTTCCTTTAACATTTATCACCTCTTCAAAATTCTTTGGTTCATCTCGTTTATGAGTATTGTCTTGATTGCTTACTGTTTTATTTTTACTTTAAAATAGTAAATAAATTGTGCAGAAAAATTCTACAAATCCAAGCATACCCTACACTTTATAACAAAAATAAAACAGGATCCAAGCATACCCACACATTTGGATATTGGAATATGTCCAAAGGAATCAAGTGTTAAGATCTCATTTTGCTTTACTTACTGAACCATCTGAAGCACTCGCTCCAACTTTGTCTCCTGCTGCATTCCAGCAAACCTCAAAAATGCCTCCTGTCCCCCGATAACTATGCACCAGAGCACCCGTCTAGAAAAACAATAAAACCAAGAGGTTGGGATATAACACAATGACATTAAAGTAATAACGTATTATAAGAATCAACTGATTATCTTTCCTGGCACGAATGAACTTATATATCAGGAGGAACTTAATATGTACAGTCTGGGGGACATAAGAGAAAGTGGGCACATGATTGAAACCTTTGAATATATTAAGGGTGTAAATAAGGTTCTAGAACAGTGGTTCTCAACCTGTGGGTCGGGACCCCATTTGGGGTCGAACGACCATTTCACGGGGATCGCCAAACAATGCAGTCCGCCATTTTTTCCCCCTTTTCCTTAGCTGTGCTACTCCCTTTTATTCTATTGGCTTTTGAAAGCCAATAGAATAGGCAAGGTTGCTGATTGGGCAATATTGGAAGAAGGACTCTTTGCCTACTTTAGAAGAATGGTTTCTTAAAGTTTCTTATTTATCCGAAATGGCAAAAATTTCGGCTTATCTGAAAGATCAATCGCAAGAGAAATATATTTTGGTGTGGAAAAGATGGGTGAATTTTATACAGAATAAATATGAGATTAGAAAGTATTATTTAGCTTTTGAATAATCTATGTTTAAGGGTAATGGTTAGAATCTTTGCTTTTATGTATTGGAGTTAAAGTATTTAAAATTTTGTTTTTTGGATGTATGTATAATTGTTTGATGTTCATTTAAGTTGTATGTTTTTTGTTGTTTTTAACCCTGTATTCAGCTCTGGGAAGTAGGGGGGAGGGTAATGGGAGTGGGTGGGAGGGGGGGGAGTATTTTATTGTAAAATTTTAAAAACTTTCAATTAAAAAAAAAAAAGCCAATAGAATAGACTCTCTTGAATAGAGTCTAATTCTATTGGCTTTCAAAAGCCCATAGGAATTGTCCAGGCTGTCTCTGCCCTGCTGAGCCCGCCAAAAGTCCCATTCTGCAAACACTGCTGCACCAGTTGAGTAGTCCTCGACTTACGACCGGTTGGGAGTCGCGGCATTAAAAAGGTTGAGAACCACTGTTCTAGAAGGCAGTATTTTCAATATTAAGCAAAAATCAAGAACACGGGGTCATAACCTCAGGAGGGAAGTTCAAAAGTAACTTTAGAAAGGATTACTTCACAGAAAGAGTAGTAGATGCTTGGAACCAACTTCCAGCGGAAGTAATGGGTCAATCATTGAATTTAAACATGCTTAGGATAAACACATGTCCATCATCCAACAAAAATTTTAAAAAATGAAATAAAAATTTTAAAAAGCCTCCAAGGGCAGACTCAACGGACCACTAGGTCTTTTTCTGCTGTCAGTTTTCTATGTTTCTATGTACTCAAAGCAATATGCAAATAATTAATGGCCTAGCTGTTCTTTCTGCAGGAGGCATCAGTAAAATACAGTACTGGATAAATCTGTTAGGTGTTCTCAAATTTTGTCCCAAGAGAGGAAAAGTGCTTTATATTATATTTGTCAACAGCTCCTTAAGTCTTTTCTGGGTTCACTCACGTTAGTTTCCTGGATACCCAGGAAAAAGGTACAGCTTCTTTTAAGAGACTCTGATAAATACAGCAAGTACAACATCCCTAAGCCAGCTCTGCAAACTTTCACTATGTTAGAATTGAATAGATGGTGGAGAAAGTGCAAAACATTTCTTAAGTTATTTACAGATGAATTTGGCTTTTTGCTGGAAGATCGGGAAGAGACAAAAATCACAGCAGTCAACTTTAAATGTTTAAAAATGGAAGAAAAAGACAGGGACTGTCTTCACTGCCTTATCTACAAAATGATCTTTAATGGTAAGGAATATCAATGTCATTCCTCTGTCTTTCCCATGAAAGTATCCTTTTAATATGATTGTCTGATTAAGGCCATGAAAAACGTTTAATAAGTAAGAAAAAATAGACCGATAAAATTACTAATGCTCCAGGAGACATACCTGTGTGTTCCAGATGTGTACACATTTGTCGAAAGAACCACTGGCCAGATATCTACCATCAGGACTGAAAGCTACACTGTACACAGGTTCTTGATGTTTCGTCAAGGTGTGGATGCAAATTCCTCGGTCTACATCCCATAACCTGACTGTAGAATCAAAGGATGCACTACCAAAGGCAAGAGAAGAACAATTAATTATTAGTTTTAACTAATTTATACATTTATTCATAAAATGTATGTCCCACTACAATTGTAAAAAGACTTTTGATGTCCAAATGGGACATCTTCTCTCTCTTGGGGGTCACTATGCAAAATTGACTGTTACTCTCCATTTCTTAGAACTTCTGAGTCATGGAAAAATGTGGAATACTGTTCATGAGTGGGATGGAAATTCTGCCTGCTTTGAATAAGAAAAGCAATTACATCAGTTCATTTTATACCAAGCAGCCACAACTTAAGTGACATTCAGCAAGCAAAATAAAGGTGAACTTGGCTGTTGAAGCAGTCAGCAATGAAGTGTGTGAGAAGAAGGACTTTGTGTTGTAACTCAAGTACATGATGCTGAATCCTGGTGCCATGTAATATATAAGATTGCTATGGTTAGCTACATGATGACTGGTTATTAGGACCATCATTCAAAGCATGCTACTACAAGGCATCTCCTCCTTGCCTAGTTTATATTTTGGAGAGAGATGGGAATTTAGGCAATATGAATGGTTGCTCTGGAATTCCTACCCCATGGAAAACCAACCTCTGTCAGTGTGGCGGGTTCATTAGTATATGCTTACTAGCAGGATAAGTAGGGGCTGGCAATCCATGTAAAGTGTAAGTTACTATGATTCTTTTTCAGGTGTGACTTAAAAGAATATCTTAACCAATTTACAGGTGGATCTCCATTTACAACTAGGCATTTAACGAAATTTCAGAGTTACGATGGATGTTCCCAAAACTACTTATGGCCTGTTTTTGAAGTTACATATATAACCCCTCCCCTGCAGTCATGTGATCACATTTTGGGCACTTTTCAACTGATGTTTACAGCTCTATGCAGCATCCTGTAGTCACAATCAGCAATTTGCCCGTTTCCAGCAAAAATACACCCATTGGGGAGAATTTATTTGCTTAATGACCACGGCTTTCACTTAATGCCTGCTGCAAACAATATAAAAAAAAATTGGGTCCACTCCCATGATGTTTATGAGTGTAATGGCATCATAGTTCTGGGGTCAATTATAGTCATAAGTTGACTATACCTGTAATCTAATTTATAAAATTAGAAGAATCCACTTACCGTTGGTTTCAAAGCATTTAATAAATGTGAATTTGATTCGCTGTTTAGGTTTAAAAAGGGGCAGTTATCTTCCCCCCAAAATTCCACATATATTCATGCTACCTTATATGTTAAAAAGCAATTGAAATATAAAAAACATTAAAAGAATTTCAAATCAGGAAAGGGATTGATGGTGGTAGCAAAACCACTAGGTTCTTTAGATGTAACCTGAGTTAATGGGACTATACGTTAAAATTCTAAAGGAGTAGAAAAAAGAAAAAGGAGAAAAGGAACCTCACAGCAAGAAGGCTATTATAAGATAATAATAATAATAATAAAGTTGGAAGGGACCTAGTCCAACCCCCTGCTCAGGCAGGAAACCCTATACCATTTCAGACAAATGGCTGTCCAATCTCTTCTTAAAAACTTCCAGTGTTGGAGCATTCACCACTTCTGGAGGCAGGTTGTTCCATTGGTTAGTTGTTCTAACTGTCAGGAAGCTTCTCCTTAGTTCTAGGTTGCTTCTCTCTTTGGTTAGTTTCCATCCATTGCTTCTTGTCCTGCCTTCAGGTGCTTTGGAAAATAGCTTGACTCCGTCTTCTTTGTGGCAGCCCCTGAGATATTGGAATACTGCTATCATGTCCCCCCTCATCCTTCTCTTCATTAAACTAGACATACCCAATTCCAGCAGTCATTCCTTATATGCTTTAGACTCCAGTCCCCTAATCATCTCTGTTGCTCTTCTCTGTACTCCTTCTAGAGCAGTGTTTCTCAACCTTGACAATTTTAAGGCATGTGGACTTCAACTCCCAGAATTCCACAGCCAGCAATGCTGGCTGTGGAATTCTGGGAGTTGAAGTCCACATGCCTTAAAATTGTCAAGGTTGAGAAACACTGTTCTAGAGTCTCAACATCTTTTTTACATTGTGGTGACCAAAACTGGATGCAGTATTCCAAGTGAGGCCTTACCAAGGCATTGTAAAGTGGTATTAATACTTCACGTGATCTTGAGTCTATCCCTCTGTTAATGCAGCCCAGCACTGTGTTGGTCTTTTTGGCAGCTGCAGCATACTGCTGGCTCATATTTAAGTGATTGTCCACTAGGACTCTGAGGTCCATCTTACAGTTACTACTATTGAGCAAGGTACCCCCCTATACTATACCTGTACATTTGGTTTTTCTGAGTATTTTCCAAATTTTCATAGAAAAATTCTGAAGCACAGTTGAGGAACCATTTCTATGTTCAAGAGGCAGAATAGTGTGTGGTCTCTATATTTAATCTCAACAGAACTAAGCAAAATTATTGGTTTCATTTTTTTTTTCTCCTACATAGGGAAAGCTTACCTTGCTAACATAAGATTGGCGTTGGGATTGTTTGTTCCTGGCCCTGTAGGACTCCATTTGATAGTATAAATTTCTTTGTTGTGGGCCTGCAGATCATGAACACAGCTATCTTGCTTCATACTCCAGATCTAATAGAAAAGTGAATAAAGAAAGCAACAATCAGCTTTACTTAATTTTAGGTGAAGATGTTCTCATAAATCTTTTTTTTAATGTTTTTTTTAAACATAAAGCAAAAAACAATAAAAAAGGAAAAAGGAGTATTTTGTTTTTTTTAAAGAGACAAAAACCCATTTTATACCTCAGATATGAGATAACAATATTCAAAAATAAACCAATGAAGTTTTATTTCTAAAACATGGGCTTTTATTTGGATTCACATTTACCGAAATATCAACGTATGGCTGCTTTACGTTAGAAAAATAGAATGAACGCCTTTTTTGTGACTACGTACAATTTCTGTAGGAAAAGACGCAGAGTGATAAAATATGTCATATTTCATCCTGCACTCCAAACAAGCTGATCTGACTTCCCTACTGGTAGGAGACTCTACTTCAGTGATGGAAAACCTATAACATGCATGTCAAAGGTGACATGCCTCGGTGTTTTGGATGACACATCAGCTGTCACCAACATCTAACAACTATTCTCGAAAGCACTTCCCCTTCTCATGCAATTTCCAAAAGCTGCAGGGGCTGTTATGAGAATGGGCTAGGCCAGTGGTGGCGAACCTATGGCACGGGTGCCAGAGGCGGCACTCGGAGCCCGCTCTATGGGCACACATGCTGTTGCCCCAGCCTTGCCTCCCCCCGCGACCCTCCTCTCCAGCAGTGGCCCACGCGGAGCAGCACAGCCAAGGACATGGCAGCCAGGCAGTGTAGACAAGACTCTGCCCTCACACCCCATCGTGCACAGTTGATGGTGCAGGGCACGGGCAGAGGGTGTGACTGCCACAGCGCTGCTGGACTGCCTGGGCAATCTGCGGCGGGCCTTGGAGGCAGTGAGTGGCCCTGCAGGCAGGCGAGGCGGAGGATGGTGGGCAGAACAGGGGTGGGGCAGGGGATGGAGCGGGGGCGGGGCCAGTTTTGGGGCACTCGGTCTCTAAAAGGTTCGCCATCACTGGGCTAGCCTCTCGCATGGCTCCTGGATGTCATGAGACAAAGGCACAACGTCCAAAACTTGTTTGAGAATGCTTTTATGCAATCTTAGGAAGTCATGGAAGAGGAGTGAGATGCACTCGCATGCCTTGAGGGGGATGGCCTTTTGAGAAGCAGTGGTGGAGCTAAATCTGAAACTGCCGCTACTCAGAGTGACCTAGATTGGGGGGTGGAGACAGAGAAGTTTTTTTTTTTTTTTTAATTTGGGTGTGTGTGTGTGTGATACAACAGCAGAATCAGGTTAGGCCTACTACTATTACACTTCTTCTTCTTCTCCTCCTCCTTCTCCTTCTTCCTAGATTTTATTCAGAAGTGGCACACTCTTATGGTCAAGAATATAATTAAATCCTTTTGCATGCTATTAATTTTTGCAAGTTTAGGAACAGGAGTCCCATAGCAGTGTAGGGCTCAGCTGGATATAGGCACCTAGGACTTCCACAGTGCAATCACGCAAATACAGAAATAAACACTGAAACAACGAGGGTAGATGGGAGAAAACTGTTTTCCCAATGGACTCCTCAACAGGAATCACCCAGTGTGGCAATGCACTTTTACCTTTAGAGTCATGTCATCAGAACAAGAAGCCAGGAGATTACCAGTGGGATCCCACTTGATTGCATTTACTTCATTCTGAAAATAAGCAGCAAGAGAGAATTGGCAGCTTGCTTTTCTTTAGAAAAGAAACAGTTAAGTTAGGGGGAAAATAATGGTTTCCAGCTAAGGAAAAAAAAACAGGAAGGGGATTTGTATGTCTCCAGAGCAGTCTAAGACAGGGACAATGTAGAAAATATAGTGAAAAATGTCTGCCTAGAAGTAATCCCGGGACAGAGGACATACATAGGAGAATTGACTGAATCTGCATGTTGGTGCTTTACAATAGGTTAAGGGGCCAGAACCATAAAACATATTTATTAAAAAGTAATTTAGAGTTCAGGAAATTCTTCTCTGCTGTGGCTCCTGCTTTTTGGAATATCTTATCCCCTGAGGCGAGGTGAGATTGGCTGCCACCCTTCTGATTTTTCAAAAGAACCTTAAGACCTGGTTTTGCCAGATGACCTGGAACCCAATGGAGGAGCTTCACACTGGAAAGGGTTGGTTAATTAAAAGCTAATCCCATCTACCCCTACCCACCCACCCCCCGGTATCCTAGTCCCCCCTTTGCCATTTTGTGTTAATGATGTTGTTTTATCTGCTTTGTTATCCAATGATTTTAAAGTTTTGATGCTGTAAGCTGCCCAGAGTTGTTTGATACAAGATGGGCAGCAAATACATTTCATAATAAACAAAAAATAAAAATTTAGCAGGAAGGTGTAGGAGATGACCAGGCTGAACCGGAGGGAGGGTTCAAGTGTGTCATCAGTCACAAGTCTCTGTGCGCCCGCAAGAGATCCAAGTCCAGCCCACTTTGAATGTCTCTCTTTTATCTTCCGCTCATTTCCCTTAACTGTCAGTTGGTCAGATTCTTGCAGAGAGCTTAAGCTTGCAATAAATATACCAATTTATACTCATTTGAACTGCCTGAATCTCCTGATTTCCCCAACACTTGACAGAAGGGTGCTTAGTACTGGGGACCTTCACTTTGTTCTACTTTAGTTTCTCCCCCAATCAAGAACATCCTCTAAATAATATCACCACTACAACTTTCACAGCAACAGCATAGACTTCATAAAGGACGTACAAATTGCAGAAATTGAATGGTGTATAATCTCTGCTTTCCCTGAAGACTAGCTGAATTCATTCTCAAAACATGTTTGATGTCTATAGAAAACTGACACTTTTTTTAAATTGGGAACTGTGACTTTTGACAAATTCTACCTAAGACTACTTACATGAAGGAAAAACATCAACCTGTGATTCAACCTTTGTTACCATTGATATCTTCCAAATTGTGGGAATTGTAACCCAACACATCTAGAAGATGCATGGTGGGTTGGGATAAACTTGTTTGAAGAGCGTCTCTTTACTTTGCTTCACACATGCAACTAACACTACATGGATAACAGCTAAGGGAAAATTACTTACTGTGTGGCCCTGGAAGGTTTTGATGGGTTTATCTTGACCTAATTTGCAGACATGAATACACATATCTGTACTACAGGAGGCAAATGTGTTGTTGCTCTGCCAGTCAACATCTAACGCTGGTGCTGTTGACAAAAAAAGAAAGAAAAAAAGTCAGAAGAAATACATTTTCTTTGCAATCATCAGCAATTGAAAGTGATGAGCTGACTGGTCAGTTTAGAGTAAATAAAATTTGGACTTCAAAGTATAATGCAAAGTTCATTTTGGAAAGGCTCAAAGAGAGACTGTTTTATACTTGAAGAGGAGCTGTGAATGTGACAACTAATCAGAATCTGTATTATCTAATTTGTCAGATTTATATCCTGCTTTCCCTCCAACTCAAGAGTACATGGGAAATTCCTACACTACAATCTTCTTACAAAATCATAACCTAAGAACAGGGGAAGCTGGACTGTGGTATAACCACAGGCTACCAATGCCATACTGATCCCATCTTTACATGTACAAGAAAAGTATCAGCAATAACATTTATTTGTGAAGGTCTCCAGACATTCTGGAACTGATTTAGTGAAATATTTGCTTTATGGAATGACTCCATCACTGAAGATTTATCATATGAATCAATTAGTGTGGAATAAATTATATGAAAATTGGTATGCCAAATGTACTATTTAGCGCTGAAAGAATATAGGCAGTCCTCAAATTATAGTGGCAATTGGGACTAGGATTGCTGTCACTAAGTGATATGGTTGTAAAACATAATGTGACAGGACCACTGCTGAGAGGAAACAATCCAGGCAGGATCAGTTGCTGTCATAGCTCCAAGACGCACAAGTTGTTAAGTGGGAAACACTGGGAGTCCCAAGTAAGGAATGTGAATGTGGCACGGGGGGGGGGGAGACCCAGTCCAGTCCACCCATGAATTGGAGGGCATGGGTGTTGCGGAGTGGCACAATCAAAAGAGTGGGGAGAGGAAGTTGCAGTGTATGCAAAGATGAGAAATGGGACGTGATGCATAAGAGCAAGCACAGAAGGAGTGCGAAGGAGTGTGTAGTGCATGTGAACACTGCTCGATAGCAAAGTGTGAGCTGGTTGCTAGGCACTCAAATTTTATTTATTTGACTAGGGTGGGAGGCACTGCAAAGGTCAGAATTTTTAAGACGGGTTGTAGGTCTCTTTGTTCAGCACTATCATAACTTTATATGGCTGCTGGACAAATGGATGTTACACAAAGACTACCTATATAATGAAATTTGAAGATTATAAATTATTATTTTTAAGTAAAATCCCATCAAGAATTGAGAAACAGTCAGTTATAATGCGTTATTGGTAGCAATGCTAATTAGAAAAAACTGATTCAAGAGAAAGTAAATTAAACCAGCTTCCTTTTTCTGTCAATAAGAGGAAATCTGAAACAAGATAGATGTTTTGTTTTTAAAAGAGCCTCTAATTTTCTCACAGCTGAACTAGCTGGAATACCAACTAGTAGTGCTGTTGGAAATATCTGCCAATTGTAAACACACACACACACACAAAAAGTCAAAAACTATTATTAACTAAGTCACAAAACATTGGCTTACGAGCTATTCCTTCTTTTATCGGAAGAGAAAATACATACCAGAATGGAAAGGAAACTGCTGTTTGGCTTCTCCAGTATGTGCATCCCAAATAATTGTGGTCTGAATTAAAAAAAAATAGAACAAAAAACCATTAAATGGCTTTACAATTTTGAATATTTTTAAATCGACCAAATCAACTAAAACAATGTTATTTAAAGTAAATTTTCTAAAGAACAGATTCCCCTTTAAAAGCTAAGGAGTAGAAGGATATAAATCATAGGCTTTGTCAAAAAAGCTTCCCCTTCCCTGTCATACCTTACTTGTTTGTTCTAGGCTTATAATTATTGCAAACATAACTTTTCTAACTCAGAAAAAGTAAATTGGGCCTTAACCACAACAAAAAATGTGGGGTTGAATTGTGGGGCCCTGGTGCTCTCTGAGGTTGATTACTTTCTTGCAGATGTTTCTTATTCCAATTAGGTAACATCTTCAGTGCTGAACCACAGTCTTGTAGCGCTGAAGATGCTACCTAGTTGGTTAAGGAAGCATCTGCAAGAAAACAACCAAGCTCAGAGAGAGCACCAAGGACTCCATAATTTATGCCTATTAGGACTATACAGATAGTTCTTGACTTGCAACCGTTTGTTTAGTGACCAAAGTTTCAACGCCACTGAAAAATGTGACTTATGACCATTTTTCACAATTATGACTGTTGCAATATCCCTGTGGTCGTGTGATCAAAATTTGAGGGGGGGGGCATGTATTTAGAACAGTTGCGCTGTTCTGGGATCATGTGATCACCATTTGCAACCTTCCTAGCTGGCTTCCCACAAGAAAAGTCAATGGGAGAACTCTGATCTGCTTAAATAACTGCAGTCATTAACAACTGCAATGATTCACTTAACAATAGTGGCAAAAGGTCATAAATGGGGCAAAACTTGCTTAACTGTCTTGCTTAGCAACAGAAATTGGGGTCGTAAGTAGAAAACTGCCTGTATTCCTACACTTGCCCACAATTTGTTTAGAAAGAAGGGTGGCATCACTAGCTGCTAACAGTAAAGTGAAACAGCTAATCACCTGTATTCTTTCTAAAGAACACTTCATTTTGTGCATTCCACACCCTAAATCAGGGGTCAGCAACCCACGGCTCTGGTGCCACAGGTGGCTCCTTCATCCCTTTGCTGCGGCTGTTTTTTTATACATAGCATAAAGATAAAAAACGATATATGCAGCGTTATCTTCATTTTAGATGTCAAAAGGGTTCTGTGGCTCCCAGTGTTTTCTTTTCTGTGGGAAACGGGTCCAAATGGCTCTTTGAGTGTTTAAGGCTGCTGATTAATGCCTTAAACTATCTTCATAATTTCATCTACAACAATATATTTCAAAATAAACCAAGGTTGTCTTACCTTGTCCACACCTGCACTTAAAATGAAGTTCCCTTTCTTATTCCATTTTAATGCAAATATGGGACCTTTATGCTGCCCTAATGTGCTGGCGAGATTACCTGGAAATTAAAGGATCCCAGTTATATTTTACCTGATTTTACAAAAAGTATTTGAAATAATTCCCCCTGTCATATTTTATCTTTGAAAGAGGAAAAAGAACTGATAATGTTGCTCTCACCATCTTTAGTCCATATCCTTGCAAAACCATCATACGATCCTGTTGCTAGGAGAGTACCTTCACTCTGGAATGCAAAGTATAGACATTATTCTATCACTACGTGTTTTAAAAGTCTGCAATCTTCAAACACAGCATGTTTCCTCTGCTTTAGAGATGTGCAAAGTGTGAATTATACACATCCCCTCTCAAGGCTTTCGTCGTGTTTCATGAAATTTTCTTTTTACTTGGGAGCATGATCATCTCTTCCCAAGCAAGAGAAGTCATTTATTTGAAGAACCGCTGGACTTAGGGAGAGGTGTGCAAAATGTTTCAACACTGAAATAAGCCATGATGTTGTTCATATCTTCCTAGGACAGGGGTGGGGAACCTTGGCTCTTTTATGACTTGTGGACTTCAACTCCCAGAATTCCTGAGTCAGCACAGAATTCCTGAGCCAAGGTTCCCCACCCGTCCTAGGATTATTTTTGACCTTTCATAAGATCACAACAGAGTATCTAGGGAGCAGACCTGTTCAACTCTGAATTATTTTGGGCACATCTAAATCTCAACGGTGTATTTAAATGAGTCCTATTAGAAATACCTTTAGAGGGGGGAAAAAAAAAACATGTTCAACAGCCCCTGGCTACCATTTTAACAGAGAAACTTTTAAATAATGTTTCATTTCACACTGATCTTGCAAATCTCTCATTTCTTTGTATCCTGCCTTTAGTGAACTTTTGAGAGTTGCTCCCTAAACGTCTCTGTGAAAAGACTTCTTGATGATTGAGTTAATTCATTTTGATTTGACTCTAGGGTACGTTTTTTGCTGCACAAAAGATTCAGTTGCGGGTGAATGTGTTCCTTATTTTTGCCAAGATCAGGAAAGTTTGGAAGATTGCTTTTATTCACCCATACAAATGCTGCTATTCCACTTGCTTCACATTCTCTGGAGTCATATTTCAGGCACAACTGCTGTTTCGGAACTCCAATACAGTACAGTAAAAAACAATTTGCGAAAACTGCTGAATTTTGAAAGCTTTTTGAAAAAGTGGGGATATATGTCAAGATTAATGAATGTTTATACTTGATCCCCCTGGTGCACCCTAGACTGAAACTTTAGCAGAAGACCTCTTTGGGCATAGTTCTACCACATGAGAAATAAAACATGTATCTATAGCGCTCATGGAAATCTGGAAATGGTCACCTCCAAAAATGCATGTGTTTGAAGTTCAAAATATGGGTTAATTTGAACATGGGAATTTTTTGCTTACATTCCAATCCAGAGATGTTACATCTTTGTTACTTGGTACATCTTGCCCTCCTTCTCGTATACAGTGCCGAAGAACCAGCTGCGTAGATCCACTGGTACTGTTTTCACTAAGATTCCATATTCTTGCTGTTGAATCTCCAGATCTGGGGAAAAAAAAAAAAAACAGCTTCTTTAAAACCAAGCACAATTCTTTTCAGTCAACCTCACCAAAGACTTAACAGAGGAGAAGAATATAGAGTGTTCTTGAAAAGCATCAAGAAAAGATGTACTACTATACGACTGACTAATATTCAGTTATAAGTAGACCTTGATTTACAACTAGTTGCTTAGCAATTGTTTGAAGTTCCTTGTGGGGTTACTTATGACCCAGATTCAAAGTTTTGATGATTGGGGGGGGGGACCCCTGTGGTCATATGACCACACTCCAAGTGCTAGGCAACTGGATTGCCTTTATGGATATTTATAGTATCCCAGTCACATGACCGTGTTTTATAATGAAAATTGGCATTTACTTATGTTTTTCACCAAAACTGGCCCATAGCAAACCTTTTGTTTCACATAACCACCAAAGCAAAAAGGTCATAAAATCAAGTCAATTGTGCCATCAGCCAGCTTTTGATCCTCACAACCATAATTGGCAAGCTCCATCATGGTCGTAACTTGAGGCCCGCCTGTAACCATTCATTACATAGAGATGATTCCGTAACAAGATTCAAACTCCTTGGAGTTTAGACAGATAACCTGACTGTTCCTGTTCAAGCAACTAAACCAGAACAGCACTGTCTTACATTCCCTTTTTCATACATCACTTATCGAAAGTGTCTTATGTGCTACTGATCAGAATCAAAGTCTCTTGTTTCCTACATTTCCAATTCAACAAGTTCATAGATGTGGAAATGAAGACGTTTTCCTTAGGATTAAAACTGGAAAAGAGAAGTTATATTTTCAACTTTTTTTTTAGAAAAACATACCCTGAGGCCAAAAGATCGCTGACAGGGTTCCAGGCGCAGATGAAAACTTCAGATTCGTGACCCCGCAGCACCACTGCTTTGTTTGGAGGGATTTCAACATCACCATCCACCTCCATCATATCTGTATGATTATCTGTTGAAAAGAAACCGTAAGGAAAGGGAGGCACGTTACCATTAAATTACTGTTGTTTTTGCTATTGTTATTATTCATTCATGCCCTACGTCTAGCTTATGGGATACCTAAGGACACCATCACTTTTATTACAGGTAGTCCTCAACTTGCAACAGTTCATTTAGTGACAGTTCAAAGTTACAACGGCACTGAACAACGTGACTTATGATCGTTTTTCACACTTAGGACCCTTATGGCCTATCTTCATGTGATCAAAATTCAGACCCTTGGCAACTGACTCATATTTATGATGGTTGCAGTGTCCCAGGGTCTTATGATGCCTTTTTGTGACCTTCTGACAAGCAAAGTCAATGGGGAAGCCAGATTTACTTAATCCTGTTACTAATTTAACAGCTGCAGTGATTCGCTTAACAACTGTGGCAAGAAAAGTTGTAAAACGGGGTAAAACTCATTTAACATATGTCTCACTTAGTAGCAGAAATTTGGGCTCAATTGTGATCGTAAGTTGAGGACCAGCTGTATTTGGTTCACTCTTTTTACTCTCATAGACATGTTGTTAATATGCTACCTCACACCTCTATTAGAATTCTTCTTAGTAAGGTTCCATATCCTTTTCTTAAATTAACTGAATGCTAAAAAGAAAGTAAGATTCCATATTCTTGTCATTGATTGTGTGTACATTTTAGTCCTAAAGCAAGAGTGTCCTTTGGTAAGTTTGGACTACAATTCCCATCAACTCAAATCCATGGGATTTGAGTCAGGAATAAACAGGAGACATGCGGTGATAGCCTTAATATTCAGGATGTTCCAGTTTGGAGAAGCTGTAGTAGATTCATATGTTGGTCTTTAAGAAGAGAGGTGGAGATTTAAATTCCCCACTTGATCAGATTAGAATTTATTTAGCTTAATAACTGTTCTATAGAATATTCTATTTTGGGGGGAGGGCAGGGAAGCTAAGATGACAGATGGATCAAAAAATGCCCAAAATGCTTCCATTATTGCCTTATTTTTAAAAATGGATGAATTGCACATGAGCATGTAATTCAGTAATAAAGGGAATAACAGGTCTGGCTTAAAATAAAGCCAGTTTTGAAATTTATACAGGGTGTGTTTCTTTGTGCATGTGTGATTCTTCTAACCCTCCTCCATGATAAAAATTACGTATGCTCCAAAAGAAGAATATTAACTGGTCGATGGTTGTTTCCCAAAATAAATCTGTTTTATGTAAAGCTTCTTGGCTCTCAAAAATTAGCTTGTTGGTAGTTTTATCACATTCATCTAACTTGAGTTGAATACTGTGACTACATCGCCTATCAGTGGCTATGATTCAGTAATATGTTTGTTTGGCAAGAAAGACATATTAAGCACATATTTCTCAGTAAACAAGACCAGATGATTTACCAAAAACAGTTTTATTGTGAGCTAGCATCAAAATCTTTTTTTAAAAAAAATTAAAATGCTAAAAGGTTATGTTTGGATTACAAGAGCAGAAGTTGAAAATGATCACGTAGTGTATTTTCCATGAAATGAGAGCCATGCTAAGCATAGCCTTTGATCCCTGGCAAACTAATTTAAGAGGATCCTTCTACTCCTGGGTGGAACAGTAGTCCTAGGAGACAAGAGGACTTTGTGTGCTCACGTACATATATACATGTGCTTGGGAGTGTGAAAAGAGACTGAATTAGCTATTCCTGCACAACTGGCATTGAATAGAGCAGATGGATATATTCACTTCGAGGAAGACAGAGGGCCTCTAGCATTTGCCTGTTTCGCCAGCGGGGGGGCTCGCTCTCCACAAACTCCTTAGATCAGTGTTTCTAGAGGTAGGCAACTTAGGAGATGTGGACTTCATCTCCCAGAATTCCCCTGTCAGCTGGGGAGCAATGGTGGCTTAAAAAAAAAAACACCTCTACGTTGCAAAACCAATCCCCAATAATACCTATGTAAGATGGGATGTTTTTCCCCTGATTCTGGCTTTTCTTAAATTTATTTTCTCATCCATCTGACTTGAAGGTTGAAATGCTTAAAATACCACACGCTATATTCCCCCATTTTTTAAAAAATTAAAAATGTTTAAATGTTTTGAGTGTTTTTTGTATGTGGAAAGTGGGACAACTGAGTTTTCAAATACAGAAGAACATACCCAGCCTGTCTATCAACCCATTTGCAATTTATTAATTGCAGCTCCACTCACTTGCTATAGTGTGGGCGCCATTCTCCTCTCCATTTGCAGTATTTTCACCATTTTTTGTAGATCCTTGTTGATTTGTTGAAGCCGCTGCGGCTGCGGCTGCGGCTGCCTGCTGCTGAGCAAGCTTGTCTCTGTACGCCTGCTGCCTTGTTTGTACCACATCGGGCATCACGGCATCTATCAGCGAGAGAGACTCTATCGGCCGGCCATCAAACAAAGTACCATCCTAAAAAAATACAGGGATAGAAGACAAGAGATGAGTGGAAGAGGAGAAGGGGCGGGAAATATTTCATTAGTGATAGGGAAAATCTGCAACAGAAGTTAGAAAACAGGACATAAACCCCATAACATGATGAAGTGAATTAATTATCCAGAGTTTTGATTAATCCTGTTTACCGAAACTGATACAAGTTAGGTATTAAGGCTGATTTAGAGTTGTCCAAAACTGCCTGTAGTTGTCAAAGAATATTTATGCTACAAAGGAGTTGATGGATAAGTGCAGATTGCAGATGGCTGAGGAAAACACTTCCCAAATACCAAGGGTGTGTTCTGTGGAAGAACATGCTTTTCATGAAGATTGGTTGATCTGACTTCCTGTTCTGTGCTTCACTGTTTGAGCACCCCCTAGCCAGAATATTAAAATTCGCAGATGTATGAAGGCAACACCATCTACAAACAACAGACATGTATCTTCCCTCACAGTGTAAAAGAAGTCTTACTGACCCTTAATGCAACTGTAATTCTCTTTCTAAGAAGTGAAGAAGTTATAGTTATAGCCAGCTAATTGAAAATTTAGTAGGAAGTTACCATATACTCTATAGATCAGTGTTTCTCAACCTTGACAATTTTAAGGCATGTGGACTTCAACTCCCAGAATTCCACAGCCAGCAATGCTGGCTGTGGAATTCTGGGAGTTGAAGTCCACATGCCTTAAAATTGTCAAGGTTGAGAAACAGTGCTATAGATAGATAATAGATAACTTTTATTGTCATTTTTTTTACCGTGGGCACATTGGCACACATTATAAATGAAATTTTGTTGCTTGTTCTCAAAAGTGTATACATACATAACACATATTTAAACATGCTATATACAACATATGTATAAACCTACACCCAGTGGTGGGATTCAAATACCTGAACAACCAGTTCTCTGCATGGATGACACTTCCGGAAGTCCGTTTTGAGCCAGGGAGGCTCCCAGGACCAGAATGGCCCACCGGAAGTGCGTAGACGCCACTTCCGAAGCCTACTGAACTGGTGCAAACTGGCTGAATCCCACTACTGCCTACACCCCTACATATAAATAACATAGATATTAATCACTGTCCATCTTGAATACATAGTGGAAAGAGGAAGCTTTAGAGTTCACAAGGTTAATACTGTATGGAACATAACTGTGAATGAATCTGGTCGTAAAGAGGATGTGTAGCGTCCCAGACAATCAGTAGTCTGGTTGTTTATACTGACCAACAGTGGCTATTCGTGGTTTTACTAGGGAGTCTCACATCTTCCATGTGGGAAGCAGATGTATTAGTCACTGAGTTTCACCCCAATATACTGCTATTTTGATATGAAATCATGTCACCTGTAATAATACAGGTAGTCCTGACTTCACAACCACAACCGAGCTCTGTTTTAGTCACAAATAGTTACGGTTGTGTAAATTGAGTCACCACCAGACTTGATTTTATGACCATATTTACGGTGGTTGTTATCACTATGGTCATTAAGCAAATCCTGTGGGTGTGAATCTGAATCCAATGTATCTGATAAGTAGTGAGGGGTTGCCAGAAAACAGCAAAAAAATCCCACAAAATGTGATCATATGACCGTGGGATGCTGCAGCTGGTCATAAATAAGACCCAGTTGTTAAATGTCCCAAATCTGATCATGTGATCACTTTGAGGACAGGTTGTAAATAAGTTTATTTTCCAAGTCTGTTGTAATGTAAGTGACCAGTCATTAGGTCAAAGACTACCTGCACTCCGCTACTCCTTTTGGCAAAAAAGCTGTAATTAAAAGTTCAAGTGGAGTTATTTCTGTTTTATTTTTGTTTATTTGCCAACTATCGCTTTTTACGTGCCTGTTTTGCAAGGAATACAGACCAGGATTTAGCTCTCTTTTAAATAAGCACCTTCTTATTCTTTCTCCTGTCTTGTTGTGTTGTTGTTTCTGGCTGGCAAGAGCAGCTCAGCCTAAAAAATAATGATTTACCTTAAACTGAACCATTTCCATAACCCATCCAAAGAGGCCTTTGGGGACTGGCAGCCAATAAGGTCACTGGAGTGTGAGGATCAAACTCTGACTATTCAAGGTGCCCTCACAAGCACATGCCCTACAATAATGGGTTCAGCTCAGTACTATTCCCAGACCAGTGGAAGCCTTCAAATTGACTATTTCTCAGTGGCTTTCAAGCACTGGACTTATTTCTGGATCCTGCCAGTAATTAAAAACAGAGATTTCCTTTGTACTGGATACAAATGCTGAAGAGTTCATCCATTTTTAAAGATGAGGCAGTGACAAAACCTCTGCTTGTCACTTCTTAGACATGGGGAAAAGTCAATATAAATCAATAAGCTACAGTCCTTACCTCTAGGATAAAGGTTGGCAACATGGCATTGGCAATACCACTAGATGGCATCTGTTCACTTATTTAGAAAAGCAAGTGTTTTTAAATAAGCTGGTGACGATAACAACAACAATAATAAGCAAAGATAGTACCAATAGTGATAGGTGCCTTGGGTGCAATCCCAAAACATCTGGAACACCACCTAAACATCATCAGCACTGACAGAATCACCACCAGTCAACAGCAAAAGGCGGTTTTACTCGGAACAGTTTTTACATCCTGTGGGGATATCTCTAACGCCAACGAATTTAAATTTCACACACAGACACACACCCAGGTCCTTGGGAAGGACTAAACAGATGGATAAAAATGCCAAATCCAATTGAAACATCTGGTGAACAGTGTTACCAACTATAATAATAGTAATGGGATTTCTGAATACAAACGGATAAAGTCTTGGCACATAAGACAACAGATTTAACCATGGTTGAAAAGAAGAAGGTGCGGATATTTGATGGGCAAGACCAGGAGATGGTAGACTAGAAGACAAAGAACTGGAGAAGATCACAAAGTGTCAAGATCTGAAAATCAAAGTTGAAAGGTTGTTATGGTTCCGGCTAATGAAACACTTCAAAGAACTTCCAGGCATTGATTTCTCTAAAAGTCTTTTATTGCTTCAAAATGTCGGCACAGGCATAACGAAAGTTTTATGCTAAGATCTGAGTTCTCTTCCTCTGAGCAGTTAAATTATCAGCATGTTCCCTCCCTAAATTAGCTGTCCAATTAGTGTGAAGGTCAAAGGTTTCCTTCCTCTTTCTTTCCCCCTGGTTTTGCCCCCTCCCCCTTCTGCTCTGTATTAACCTCAAAAATACCAGACAGTTCTGCGTATTGTCAAAGCAAGAATATACAATATTTGCAGTGTTGACATCCGGCCCCCCTTACAAAAAGGACAGATCCTGTAAAGTAAACAAAAGCATATGTTAAGGGTTATCTTTCGGTTTGTTGGGGTGTTTCACATGAAACCTTTTGACCAATCTGTCAGCTTTCACTTCACTCGATTTCACCCAGGTTGTTTCAGACAACGGGTATCCCTTCCATTGTATTAGGTACTGCAATTTCCCTTTAAAAATTCTTGAGTCAAGAATATGTTTTACTTCATAGTGGGTCTGTCCCGCGACTACGAGGGGCCCAGGCGCCTTCTTCAGAGGAGGTCTTAAAGTGGAGCCCCGATAAGGCTTCAACAAGCTACAATGGAAAACTCGGTGAATTTTCCCTAAAAGTCTAGGGAGTTTTAGTTCTACTGTGACTGGGTTGATGATCCTTACCATAGGGAAAGGCCCTATAGGTAGTCTCACAGTTCTCATTCCTTTCTCCCACCAGATAAACGGCTTCCATTTGTCTAACCAGGCTAGTCCTAGGATCACCGCCTCAGTCATTTTTGGAGCCACCACGAAGTGAATAAACTCCCAGTGTGCACCTATTTCTAGGCGTAAAGGCTCGGTTAATTGTGTGACAAGAGTCCCTCCCATCAGGGAGCCATCGGCTTGCTCAAACCTCACCGGTTTGGAAAGCTGTTTTGCCCGTATGCCCATTTTCATGGCAAACGCCAGACTAATAATGCAGCGGGTGCATCCCGAATCAATTAGTACGTTCAAGTCCATTTGTGCCCCAGACTTAGGGATTATAAGTTTGGCGGCCAGTGAAAAAGGCGGGATTTGTCGACTCACCATCGGGTCGTTCTCTCCTTCATCGTCGCTGTCAAAGAAGGGTAGAGCAGGGGCGGGTCCACCTGGAGTCCCGGCGTCCTCCTGTGTGGGGGCTGTAACCTGGGCGACAGGTTCCTGCGTGAGTCGGTTGGATTTTTCTCTCGTTAGCCACCGAGCAGGTTTCTTTTGCATTGCTGGTTCTGGTCTACTCTGCAGTCGGCAGTAGGGCACTGGACAGGTGGCTGCTCGATGTCCTCGTCCACAGTGGAAACACTTGAAGGAACGGCGTGTAGGTGGCCTGGGTCTCTCAGCCCTTGCAGTAGTTGAAGGCTTTTGTGGGGGTGATTGCTGTCTGGGTACCTCTGGTTGCTGCTCGGGTTCATGTGGGGGAGGCTTCTTATAGCGAGAGAGCTTAACATCTACCTTCACGGCTGTCTGGTACCACTCCTGTAACCTATCAGGTACTTCTCGATAGATGCAGGCCTGAGAGAGGTGATTGTCTAATCCCTTGATGAAGTAATGGATGAGGGACTGCTCAGGCCACCCCTCTATTCGACCTGCTATCTTGTGGAATTATCGCACGTATTCCAGGGCAGGCCTCCCGGCTTGTTTTATTTTGTGAATTTGTCCTGCTGCTTTGAGGCCAATGGATGGGTCCTCAAATCGTTCTCTCAGACTTAAGAGAAAGAGTTGGGGATCTTCCAATTTGGGAGCTTGCTCGCTATATAAATTGTTCAGCCATTCAGATGCTTCTCCCTCTAGGTTGGACGCAATGACATCGACCATGGCCCCTGGTTCCGGGTAAAGATAGGCCCAGCGATTCAAGTGAAAACGCACTTGGTTGAGGAAAAAAATCAGCTTCTCTGGGTCCCCATCGAAGGTTGCTTTGAGGGGTGGTGCGAACACAGGCTGCTGTGGCCCCCATCCTGCCGGCTGATCCAACTGCTGCTGGGCTCTCTGCTGTTGACATGGTGCCCCCAGTTGCTGTTGGTCCCATCCTGCCTGCTGATCCAACGGCTGCTGGGCCCTCTGAAGTTGATGTGGTGCCTCCAGTTGCTGTTGGCCCCATTCTAGCTGCAGATTTATGCCCAAGGGTTGCATATTTGGGGGCTGTGGCCAATCTCCTTGCTGTGGCTGTTCTCCCACCAGCTGCTGATATCCTGGCTTCTGTACCACCCCAAGGCATTGCAAGGCCTCTATTAGCTGTGGCAAGTTCAGAGGACATGGATCAGCCACCTGCTGGGGAACCCAATCTCCCCATTGCTGCAGAGGACTCAGACTGGGATTCTCACTCTCTTCAGGGCTGGAGTCCCTGGTAGGAACATCTGCAATGTAAGGGCGGTAGGCTTCCCTCTGTAGGAATTGATTTCTGGGTTTCATCTCTGAGTCTTGAAATCTTTCTAATGACTCACCCACAACTTTGGTATCTCTCCGTTCTGCTTTTGAAGTCTTTGCTCTCAGCTGGGAAATCTGCCAGATTTCTCTCTCCCCCGGCTTGCCGGCTGACGCTTCCCCCCCTGGGGAAACTGTTGCAGCCAGGGGGCTGGCCTCAGGCAATCTTTCTTTCTCCATAATGATATCTTCCCCGAATTTTTACCAGCTCCTCTCAAGCCTAGAGGAAGTGGATGGGGCCTGGGACCCCCTGGTCGTTTGAAAAGGATTGAGATCTTAGCATGTTGTTATGGTTCCAGCTAATGAAACACTTCAAAGAACTTCCAGGCATTGATTTCTCTAAAAGTCTTTTATTGCTTCAAAATGTCGGCACAGGCATAACGAAGTTTTATGCTAAGATCTGAGTTCTCTTCCTCTGAGCAGTTAAATTATCAGCATGTTCCCTCCCTAAATTAGCTGTCATATCTCACATTATCCAATTAGTGTGAGAGTCAAAGGTTTCCTTCTTCTTTCTTTCCCCCTGACTTTGCCTCCACCCCCTTCTGCTCTGTATTAACCTCAAAAATACCAGACAGTTCTGCATATTGTCAAAGCAAGAATATATAATATTTGCAGCGTTGACAAAGGTTTTGGCATAAATTGGCTGTCATGATCCCAGCCAAGTACCATATCAAAAAATCTTGGATGGCACTTAAAAAAAATTGTCAATCACGAAAAGCCACAGTGCTTGAATCTGCATATACTATGCCGACACTATATTCTTGGTACAAACTCAAAAGAACATGAAGGCCAACACCAGCTAACAAACTGGCAACTGTGCTTTCACATTGTTGTGAAGAGATTACAATAATCCCATTTTACTGTCCAGAGGGCAATGAAGGCAACTAAGGAGAGTAATTAAAAATCAGATAAAAATCTGATTAAAAGTACTTCAAATCAGTATGTTCTAATTCAAACTGAGAAGACCCAGAGAAAAGCTTTGCTGACCTAGCAAAAAAAGCTAAGCCAAAAAACCAGAAGGAATATGTTGTGTAGCATGCAAGTAATTAAGGACAAAATCCGGTTGCTCAATAGAGTTCTTTGACTGATCATGATATCTGGACAAGTCATATTTAGAAAATCCAGCTGCTGAGCCCTTTAATATCAGCAGCAACAACTCATTAAATATAGTCCATGTGACTCCCAGTGCTTGGGGTGTGTGTGTGTTACAAATTGTATAAAACAGTAAAAAAAAGAAAACAATAAGATATTAACATAAATATAAGATGAAAAAACTGGAAGGGACCAAGGAGAACAATCCAGAGTGTCTAAAGGGGGCTTCCGCCACCTTTGCTAAAGGTCTGGATAAAGACCTAGGTCTTCAAAGCCCTTGGAAATAACAGCACACTGGGGGGGGGGGTGAATCATGGGGACATCTCATTCAAGAGAACAGGTATTGCTACAGATAAAGATACATTTCTGGTGTGCTGACAGATGGTGTTTGAAGACTGACTAGCTATCACTGTGTTTCAACAGACCAGATGTAAAATGTTCCAAGTATATTACTAGCTAATTAATTGCCCATGTTTTTCACCTGATTGTGAATCTCAGGAAGAAGCCAAATCTTGCAGGATCTTTATGTTTTCACAGTAGAAGCATGGAAGTTTAGCATTTCTTCTTTTAACTAGTATTACAAGTTGCAACTTTTGTTAATACCCACAAAGTCATGCAGCCGTACAAGGTTGATGAATCACTGCTTCAGGAGCTAATGTCCCAATAATGAATCACATCAAATTCACTCAGGCTTTTTAGCTAGAATACACAGTGGCTTCCGGGAAACCAAGGCTTAAACACACAACTCAATATGCAGTCCATATTGAGATGCTGACTGTTGAAGAATGGATTTTGAAATTGACTGAATTAGCAGAGATGGCGAAACTAACCACTCTGATTAGAGATAATGGACTAGGCTGCTATATAAGAGTTTGTAGACTTTCTACATGCTAAATATAACAACAGAAGGTTAACAGAAGGATTTGAAGATTAGTGTAACGTTTAGCTTAACCAGTTAGGGAAGAGAATTTATTGCTTTTTTTCTTTCCTTCCAGCACGTACCCAAGGTGGAACCTACATGTTAAATGTTAAATTTAATTGACCACTTTTTCCTCCTTTCTGGTACACTATTTTTTTTTCTTTTTTGTTGTGGTTAGGGTTGAATGTATGTTTTTGTTTTGTCACATTTTGTTTTACTGTTCTGTATTTTTATTCTGTATGATAAAACAAACATAAAAAACATGCAGTCCACAGGGACTAAACATGTTGATATAATATATTCTTTTATAATTGCAGTGGGTGCAAACTGAAAGTCCACGTTAAAGGGGGTTTCAGGAAAGAATTTCTATTTTCACACGTAGTTCTCAATTTACAACCATTTGTTTAGTGACCATTTGAAGTTACAATGGCATTGAAAAAGTTTTACAACTGTTGCAGCATCCCCCATGGTCACGTGATCAAACCTCGGGAGCTTGGTAACTGGCATGTACTTGTGACAGCTGCACTGTCTTGGAGTCATGTCAGCATTGTTTGTAACCTTCTCAGCAGACTTCGGACAATCAAAGCCAATGGGAGAAAGTCAGATTCACTTAATGACCACATGAATCACTTAACAACTGTAGTGATTCGCTAAACAAGTGCAGCAAAGAAATCATAAAATGGGGCGACACTTACTTAACAGCTTAGCAATGGAAATTTTGGGCTCATTTGTGGTCGTAAGTCAAGGACTACCTGTGTTAATTTTTACAGATACAGGGAATTCCCTTCGATGGAATTGTCCCTAATTTATCTTTATTATTTGCTCTGCTCTGTCTCAGACTCAGCATGGATTCATTCCGCCCTCCAATTATGAAAGCTGTGAAGAGTTTCTCAAAGGAGAAAGTAGACGTATAATCAAAGGTGATAGAAAAATCCTCAACCACAACTGAGGTATCAAAAAGGATTCTTAGGTGATACAGGGACAGCATAAAGAACCACGTAGCATTAAGGAACTTGATAAAGACTTTGGGACCCAAAGCAGCAACTTCACTGTGTCAAGTTAAGATTCTCACATCATCTGACAGGAAATGGGAATTTAGAATAACAGAATACCAGAATTGTAAAGGATCTTGAAGGTCTACTATTCCAACTCCCTATCCAAGCAGGAGACCCTATACCAGGGGTAGGCAACCTTGGCTCTTTTATGGCTGGCTCAGGAATTCTGGGAATTGAAGTCCACGAGTCATAAAAGAGCTAAGGTTGCCTGCCCCTGCCCTATACCATTATGGGCAATCCATTAATGAATATTATTGATTTAAAAAAAAAACAATTCCATGTTTGATGATAAAAGTCAAAGAGAAGGACAATAACATCAACAAGCCCCTCAAAATGTGATGCTGAAAAGTTGTTGCCATACACTACCATTTCTGCCTGGGAATTAAGTATGAAAGAGGTGGCAATCTTTAACTTAGTGCAGTATTTTAAACCCAAAAATACTACAAAACCCAAGGACACTCCTGAACTTTACCAAAACCAACCAATGATGTCACAGTTCAGCCCCTGTGGCTTTTGGTTGCAATAAAAGTAGTAATAGTATTATTAGTATTATTAATTAGTATTAATAATAATAATGGCAGTGTATTCTCAGAATTTTTAAAAATATTTTAAAATATGTAAAAAATATATATTTCTTCTTTTCACGAGACACACTATTAAAGTGTACTTCGTCTTCCTAACTACTGAAAAATCTTTGAATTTTTAGAGCCTTAATGTTTGTTAAGTGTATAACCAATGCTATTAAGCAGAGAACAAGACATTTGGTAAGTGTACACCAGAGTGTAAGCCCTGTAAACCAAAACATTACAAAGCCAAAACATTACAAAGAATAATTGACCTGAACTGAACCCAAATAAATATATATGTTTGAAATGCTTCAGTCTTATTTAACAAGAATGCATCAAAGGAGACATATAAGGAAGAAGGTATCTAACACAAAAGTAGGAGTCCACAGACAAGACAGGATAAGGAACGCTAAGGAGGAGGGGGAGAAGGAAGAGACAGATAGACCAGAATATTGCAAGAAAAACATCCCAATGCTTCTGTAGATGAGGACATGTCTTCTTACCTCGTTAATACTGACTTCTGCCTCCACATATTGCAGGCCTTTTTGAATTATTGAAATCAAAGCAGCTGGGGGCACCAGAGCACCGTTGATGTTGGACTGGCTGATATGGCTCTCGATACCAAAGGTAAATGCTGAATGAGAAAACCCTAGGAGCAAGAAAGAAATTACAGAGATGTTTTCATTTCCAGAAAGAGCACGTTGTCAAGTCACCAACAGCAGCTGCGGCTTCCTCCGCAGAGCCACATGGAGGAAGATTTGAGTGCCCTAAGTCTCCAGGATGTATCTTTCTTACTCTATCCCCTAAAGCAGGGGTAGGCAACCTTGGCTCTTTTATGACTCGTGGACTTCAACTCCCAGAATTCCTGAGTCAGCTATGTTGGCAACTATGCTGACTCAGGAATTCTGGGAGTTGAAGTCCACAAGTCATAAAAGAACCAAGGTTGCCTACCTCTGCCCTAAAGTGTTACTCCACTCCTGTGACCAGTTTCTGGATTAGCAACAGGAAAGGGATACTTTGGGTGCCATTTTAAGAAATAAAGGTAGCCCTTGAGTTACGACCACGATTGGGTCCCAAATTTCTGTTGCTAAGCGAGACAGTTCTTAAGTGAATCTGCCTTCCCCATTGACTTTGCTTGTCCAAAGATTGCAAAAGGTGACCGCATGATCCCAGGACACTGTAACCGTCATAAATATGAGTTAGTTGGCAAGCATCTGAATTTTGATCATAATGGGGAGGCTGCAATAATCGTATGTGTGAAAAAGGTCATAAGTCACTTTTTTTCAGTGCTGCTGTAACTTTGAACTGTCATTAAGTGAAATATTGTAAGTCGAGGACTATCTGTACATTCAAGGAATTCAGTGAATTCAAACTTAATTTAAATCTTTCTATTTCCTTTTCTGATTCCTTTTGGAGAGAAACCAGGGCTTTCTGACAATCCCAAAATAGAATTATCCCCAAATAAACTTTTAATAATAACCACCTAGTAACTTCATGTTATTGCCATTCTTCCTAAATGTTCAATATGAGTTAAAGGATAGCCAAAGAATTCTGATTGCCCCTATCTCCTGCAAAATCATGTTTACCAAACACCTATTTTGCTGTCTTTCTTTAGAAACATCAAGTTAGATCAATCTCCAGACAACAAATACCTTGATTCAGTATTATACTACCATTTTAATTCGTCATTGGCTAATTCTTGTATGTATCAAATTATATATTTCAGGCCAACAAACAAGCCCAACAAAGAACAAGAAAAATAAATCAAGAATATATCAAATATCATCAAGCAATTAAAAACAATAGAAACCAGAATGTAGTATAAGAAGCAAAAAAAAAAGTTTGACTGATTATGTATCAAGTCAATGTCAACTGACATATATTGAGTTTTTTCCATAATGTTGAAAAGAATAACACATGTGTTTAAAAAGTTCTGCTTTAAAACAGAACAATAAAGAGGCATATTTAACATTAGTTAATATTAACCAATCCACCAACATTTTAAATGGGTCAAAATTGGGTCACAGTGAAGGACATTTAAGATATAATCACTCAATATTCAGCCGTCACAATGGATTATTGGATTGTCATTGAAATTTTCAATCAAACAAAAACCTCCTATATAAGTTCACATCCAGTAGTTTGGAAATGAGGCATGAGGTTCCTCATAATACACCTGAAAAATGCTACTGACATGAAAAGAAATTGGCTTCTCCAGTGTCACAGCCAAAAATTTACTACAGGTAATCCCCGAGTTACGAGCGTTCACTTAACAGTTGTTCAAAGTTACATGATGAGTCCCCCTAGTGCTTACGAGCAAGTCTCAAAGTTACGAATATTGCAGCACGAGCAACTTCAGTGGCACTGCAACATTCACTCCATTCCCCCACACACTCCTCACAACTGCTTCCCCCTCCCTTCCTGCCGCACCGGACTCACTTACCTTACAAAAATCCTCTCTGCCGCGGTTTCTTTCCCTTTGAAGAAGAGGAAAATTGGCTTGGAAATGTTTTTTGCAACGAGAATGAAAGTTTCTGGAATCCATGATCTTGCGCGAGTATTTGAAGTTGCGCCAAATCATAGACTTCAGAAACTTCCATTCTCTATGAGAAAGGTGCGTGTCTCCTGCTCCTGCCCCCAACTCCTTTCTGCCTGACAGCAATCCTGAAGCCTTCAACTGAGGGAGGCCAGGCCCCTCGCATCCAAGTCCAGCCCATGGGGGGGGGGGAAGTGACCCCATTGTCCCCGGAGCCTTCCTCCAAGCAGCCTGGAACAGAGGCCAGGGGAGGCTTCTGTATGCCTCCAGAGGCTGGATCCAGCCTTCGGAGGACTGCTCCAAGCTGCTGCTTCCACCCAGAACAAAACTTCCAAGGGCCTGATCCAAGCCTAAGAGATGTTTTCCTAACCATTTACGCCAGGAACCAAAGTTGGGGGGGGGGGACTTCTGCATGCCTCCAGAGGCTGTATCCAGCCCTCGGAGGACTGTTCCAAGCTGCTGCCACCCAGAACGGAGCTTCCAAGGGCCTTATCCAAACCTCGGAGGCATGCAGAACCCTCCCCCAAACGCCATTCCTGGCACAAACAGCTAGGAAAACCCCTCCGAGTCTTGGATCAGACCCTTGGAAGCTTCCATGTCCCCCCCCACCATGATCCAAGCTGTGGAGGCCTTTTCCAGGCCTCTGCCGCCCAAATTTGTGGCCAGGGAACACTTCTGCACCCCCTCCCTGTGGCCCGATCCGTTCTCCTGCACCTTTTCCAGGGCGCTATGGCCTAGAATTGAGGCCAGGGGAAGCTTTCCACCCCCCCCCCCAAGGCTCGATCTGGGCTCCGCACACCTTTTTCAGGCCTGATCGGCAGGAAGGGATGAGGAAGTATGTGGTACCTTAGTGGGTCAGGGAGGCCTTGAGGGCCTGTTCCAGCACTAGGCCCTACATGGCCTTCCCCACCCTGAGATACCTCATCTTTGCTTAATGAGCCACGTGCGTTTTAACGAAAAAGGGAGTGATCTCATATCTCGAAAGAGATTCACTCTACGAGTTTTCAATTTACGAAAGGAATGGGCAGGCTCCATTACACTCATAATTCGAGGATTACCTGTATTTAAAATGTCAACAATCCATCATGCATCGAAGGATCCCAGGAAAAAATCTCAAAGCTTTTCAAAAAATTATGTATGAGATTGTTTTTGATGCCTTCAAATCAGTGTTGTCTCCTGACAAAATTGGCTGGACCAGACCCTGCAAATTTCTTGACAAGATTGCCAAGAGAGAATGACTGGCTCAAGGTCACCTAGCTGGGATCATGTCTAAGGAAAAGATTTGGAACTCACAAACTACAAGTTTCTAGTCTGATGACCCAACCATTATATTACTATGATTAAATCTAGAGGGAAGAGTTAGTTCAACACTTGATGCTAAAAGCAAGAGAGAGGGGAACATTTTCTACTTGACTGATACAGTGTTTACACCTCCACATATTGTTGAGTTTTGAATGGTGAGGCACTGAAGCATACCCTTATAAAATCTTAATTCTCAGGCAGCTTTATTCAGGAAAGAAGTGCTGCTTCAAATATTGAACACCCTTTACAGTTTATAGCACCACTGCTATTGAATCTGGACCAGTTTACAATCCAACACCTGCATTCTGCAATAGATGAAGCTTCCAAGTCATCATCACAGGCACAAACTGCTTGAATAGTTTGATTGAGAAAGCCTTTCTCAGATGAGTGATCTCTTCTGCACAATCCCCATTTCTCTCCCTCACTAGAGAAGAAAAACTAATCCAACTGTTTCTATTTAGCTAGCTGCTGTACTTAAAGAAAGCTCGCAGATGTGTTGGGATATTGGCATGGAGCAACAGCAAAGGAAGAAAGATACAGCAGATCAAGTAAGCCTTTAAATAGAACTGGCATTCCTTATAAAACAAATCTCATCCTATTTCACAAAAAGGCTATTTATTATACACGGGCCTATCAAGACTCAATGATGCTATTAGATTGCTATTAGAACCCTAATCCTCACAGTTGAGACCTATTCCCTCTGTCGAGATAGTTATGGAAAGGAATCACATGCCCAAAATGTCCTATCAAAACAGAATTAATTTACATTGGTGCGAGGTGCTGAGGCTGATAAACCAGTATCACCTATGTAAATGGAGCTTTTATTACAGGTTATCCTCGAGTTATGATCACAATTGAACCCAAAATTTCCATTGTTAAGCAAGAAAGTTAATTGACTTTTTGCCCCATTTTAATGACATTTTTGCTGTGGTTGTTCAGTGAATCACTGCAGTTGTTAAGTTAGTAACATAGATGCAGGGTGGATTTGATTTAAATCAACTCAATTTAAATCATGAGTTAAATCACTATTTAAATCACTAGTAAAAAAAGGCTTGATTTAAATCAACTCGATTTAAATCGTAATTTTTAAAGAGCAACTGCCATCTCTGTCCCGCAGCGGCTCCTCCTCTGACACGCTGTTGTTGTTGTTGTTGTTGTTGTTGTTGTTATTATTATTTATGAGACTTATATACCGCTTTAAGTGCAAGCACTCTCTAAGCGGTGTACACCAGTAAGCAATGTGTATGTATATATTTACATTGCCCCCAACAATCTGGGTCCTCATTTTACCTACCCCAGAAGGATGGAAGGCTGAGTCAACCTTGAGCCGGTGAGATTTGAACCGCTGACCTGCTGAACACAGTCAGCTAAAGTGGCCTGCAGTACTGCACCCTAACTGCTGCGCCACCTCGGCTCATTGACTTATCGACAGTCCCATTCACTTTAATGGGACAGCTGGTAATGCGGCAGTGACACAACAAGGTGAGGGATGTGATGGGCACCTGAAATAACAGGTGCTCTTTAAATGTAATGACTCATTCTTGCTGGTAATTAGAATCTTTAACATTATTATTTGCAAACAAAATGAAGGTTTCCTATTTAGAATAATAAGCTATCCAGTTAGTAAAACAGCAATATCAGAACCTATTTTGATAGGTAAATCACACATACTGTGTTTTCCCGAAAATTAGACCTAATCCGCAAATAAGACCTACCCTGATTTTTGGGGGTGCGCCTAATATGAGCCCTACCCCCAAAATAAGCCCTAGTTAGGATCCTGGCCACTCTGTCCCACCTTGCTGCCGCAATGG